TATATATATATGTATATATACATATATATGTATATATGTATATATATGTATATTCCCTTCACAGAATGCCTAATTCTGAAAATGACCTGAAAAAACATTTATTTTTGCTAATAAATCAACAATTATCTCCTTGATTTGGTATTTATCTGGTAGAAGAAATTTAAATTGTATTAATCTTTTTCTGTAGTGCTACAGATCTGTTTTGATATATATTATCTATTAATCCAGCTATAAATGTGTCCCAGGAGGAGTTATAGTTGTTTATATGTTGATTACAAATACTAAATAGTTTATACAAAACATTCATAAGATTCTCTGTAACACAAGTTACGTAATAATTATTTTTAATTAAACTTGATTTATGGATCCTTGAAATCAGTAAAGACTCATTTATTGCTGGGAAGTAAGATCTGTATTAATAAACATGATTTTTCTATCAACCAATGAGCGGCCAGTTACGCCATCTTACCCGGACGCACCCGTGTGTGCCTGCAGCGGAAGGAGGTAGGAAAGGAATCAAGGAAAGGATGTCAGTGGTTAGCGGTTGACACAGACCTGAGATCAGAGCAGAAAGTCCCTTCAGTCTGAGGAGGTGTTTCCAGTCACCAGAGTCCTCCTAGAAAGACCCGGAGATCAAACCCACCACACACACACACACACACACACACACACACACACACACACACACACACACACACATATATATATATGCTGTGAACTCAGGCAGGAAGCAGGAAGTCTCTCAGATATCAGATAATCATCCAGCCGTCAATCAAACCAGGTCAGAGCCGAGGAGGCGGCGTGGGCTGAGAACACACAGCGTAGCACATTGTGATGATTCAGCAGTTTGAACCGACCTGAGTCACAACACGACCGTAAACCAGGTCAGTCTGCAGCATCCCTCACATCCGGCAAAACACATCCTACAGAGTGAAGAGAGAGGGGATCCAGGGGCCATCAGGCACACCCCCCCCCCGGAGATCAGGGGCCATCAGGGGCCCTGCGGCAGAATGTTGTCATGTTGAAGTTTCTCCTGTTGCATCACGACCATCGACATCAGAAGCAGAATGTGAGGTCATGATGTGACGCTCAGGTTCAGATCATCTGGAGTGGAACATGAAGTCATGTTTTTGTGTTGTAAACGTCACATGATGCAGAGGAGCCTCTTCTAACGCCGCTCACATCTCACAGACCAGCTCTACAGATATACAACCAGGGAGCGCTTGTCTTAAGATGATGAATTCATGCGTCTCAACATGAATTCATGTGTTCAGAACTTCTTCTCTGAACGTCGTTATTGGAGTGAAGTTCTGTTCAGACACAAACAACGAGCTGAGACTCTCTATGAATGCAGATTTATCTCATCGTTTCCTACCAGAGACGACCTTTGTTATTAAATAAAAATATTGATTATAGCACCTTTAAAATTTTAATTATTTGGGCGATTGTGGCTAAGTGGATAGCAGGGCCGTCTTTCAATCAGTGGGTTGGCGGTTCAAACTCTGGCTCCGCTAGTTGCATGTCGATGTGTCCTTGAGCAAGACACTTAACCCCAAAATTGCTCCCGTAGCTGTGCCTACGGTGTAGAAACGTGATAGACTCTGAATTGTAAGTCGCTTTGGATAAAAGCGTCTGCTAAATGACTAATGTAATGTAAAAGGTTTTTATCATATATATATATATTTATAAACAGTCAGCAGGAAACTCTGCAGAGAAAGATGAGTTGATCACAGTCACATGGAGGCGCTGGACTTCTTGTGGTTTGTGATCAAGAGTTCTCAAACGAGGACGACCGCGTGTCAAAGTTTCCTGGCGACGACGTTCATGAAGCTTCTTAACGCTCATTTATTTAGCGACGCGTTCTGTGACCTAGAAAAAAGTGCTGCAACTTTTAGCATGCAGAATACTTTGAAAGTGTAAAAGTGGGTCGACCATCAGCCTCGTCATGCAGTCGGTCTGTGTGGTTTAGAGAGGAGGATCAAAGACACTCGGTGACATCACCGGAGGAGGGCGATGCCGATCACGATAAATACCCGACGTCCAGCAGAACATCAGCGAAGAAGAAGGAGAAGAAGAAGAAGAGGAAGAAGAAGGACCACCTGAAACCTGGAGAGTTGACCATCTGACCTCCGGGCTACAACTTCTAAACCTGAACCTCCAGCAGAGCCTGAGGACCCTGAAGTCTGGAAGATCTGCAGAAAAAGACAAAAGTAAAAATCTGAATAAGAAGCAAAAAAAAGGACAAAAAGCATCAGAATGTTCTCGACATCAAACTCCTCCAACGCGACGGTGAGAGCCTTTAAATCTGTGCAGAGATAAAACTAATACATAATAAATATACACACGTATATATTCATTATTTCTGTTATTAGTTTATTGAATGTATTTAATCAATACTTTTGTATATTTATGTGTATTTTGTAGCAATCATTTATGTTAATGGTTTTATATTTATTTGAATATTTAAAAATCCAAAGTTCCAATGTCGACTATTATACTTCTAAAAACAAAATGCAGATTTTATATTTAAATGGTTTAAATGCACATTAACGTGTGATATACATTAACGTGTGATGCACATTAACATGTGATATACATTAACGTGTGATGCACATTAACGTGTGATATACATTAACATGTGATGCACATTAACATGTGATGCACATTAACGTGTGATGCACATTAACGTGTGATGCACATTAACATGTGATATACATTAACATGTGATGCACATTAACATGTGATGCACATTGACGTGTGATGCACATTAACGTGTGATGCACATTAACGTGTGATGCACATTAACGTGTGATGCACATTGACGTGTGATGCACATTAACATGTGATATACATTAACGTGTGATGCACATTAACATGTGATGCACATTGACGTGTGATGCACATTAACGTGTGATGCACATTAACGTGTGATATACATTAACGTGTGATGCACATTAACATGTGATGCACATTAACATGTGATGCACATTGACGTGTGATGCACATTAACATGTGATATACATTAACATGTGATGCACATTAACGTGTGATGCACATTAACGTGTGATGCACATTAAAATGAGTGAAATAGAAACACAGATATTATTTACAAACATGGTAAAGTAAAAGTGAATTCCTCCTCCTCTTCCTCAGGCTGTGGTGGCGATGATGATGATGGTGATGGTGATGATGATGTCGGAGGCAGCAGCCATGCCGAAAGGAGGCGGCCAATCAAAACACTCGGCGAGGACACACAGGAAGTCCTCTGATGGCGCGACGGTACAAACCGTCCCCCTGCAGCTGGACCCCAATGTGGTGGTTCCTCCCAGAACCATGAGGCCTCTGCAGAACGCATCCATCTCCCCGTGGACCTACAAGTACGGAGAAAACATTCCATGAGACAACATGCATAGAACTGTGCTGTGCCCCTTTAATCATATTTAGAGATAAAGATGATACTTGTTGTCTCCTCAGCGTCTCCCACGATGACTCCCTGTTCCCTCCGGTGCTGTCCGAGGCCCGCTGTCTGCTGAAGGGCTGTCTGGACTCGGACGGCCGGGAGGACCTGAGCCTGGAGTCGAAACCCATCATGCAACAGGTGCTGCTGCTGCGCCGGGTCAAGTCGTCGTCGGCGGGGGCGGGGCCAGGATACCACTACCGGCTGGAGACCCGCCTCATGGCTGTGGGCTGCACCTGCGTCCGACCCGTCGTCCGACACCAGGACTGAAAGACCAGCAGAGACCCGGACCCCCTGCTAGGTGAGTCTGAGACCAGCAGAATATTCTGTATGGAGGACCTGTAACATATGATTTAATAAGTGGGAACTTTCTATCTCGTTATGAATTCATTCAATTAAGAGATAGAAACTCATAGTTATCAAATGTAAGACCTGTCATATTTAATTATAATCATTTATTAATATTAACTTTATACAGCACAAAATAGAAAAAAAAGTTACTAAATGATTTTTAATAGATAATCTATTAATGTATTCTGGAAGATATATTCCATCTGAATAACTTGGAGGTAGATGTGGGTGTCGTCTTGAAAGATATATTGGACCTTAAATGTAGATATGTGATGCACTAAGTCACAATTATTACTTATATCTGTTGAATTAACCATAATTAAGACATCAAACTTAAAGTATGACTTAGTGCATCAGAACAGGGGCGTCGTTAGGCCTATTTTAGGGGGGCTGAAGCCCCCCTAACATGTTCTTCAGCCCCCCCAAATAATTTGGCATTATTGGAATTAAAAAAAAATCTTTTGGTGATGTCATTAAATTAAACTATTGTTTCTCACATGGACAAGTTATTTATAACTCTAACATGCTACATCTGTGCGTGTGTTCTGGTTTGTATGTTTTCTCCCCCTTCAAATTACAATCCAACAGCCTCTCATCATACTGAACGATATAAAGTTGTCACTGTCAGGTCCGTTCTCCATCCATTGTGTGCGGTCCCTTTAAGAATCAGGATTTGGGAGTGACGCGGATATGAAAGCTAGTTTATCTGTCTTTCCTTTACAAGCAGGAAAATTATTTCTCTCTTTATTTGAGAAAAGTTCATATTTGTGTTGTCAAATTTCACTATGACCCTGAAGTTCTGTCTCTTGTGTTATCATATACTGAATGCAAGCAAAACTACAGAGCAACATCACACTCTTTCTGATTGAACCAATCTGAAACAATGGATATCCGCTTCGCCATATGGGCCCCAAAAACAATTGCCTCAAACATGCCCCTCCCCTTGAGGCTAAGCCCCCCCTTTCTTTGAATCCTAGAAATGCCCCTGCATCAGAATAAGGACATGTTATGAATTAAAAATGAATATAGACTTAGTTAAGATGATTATTATTATTGACTCATAAGTAAGTCATTATTTTCCAACTTTTCCTGTGTATTTCATTAGATTTGTGAGTTGTCCTTCATGCTGCTCCGTTCTGGATGTTGAGTGAATCTGCATATTTTTGTTTTATTTGATATCTTATTTTGTTTTAAATATTTTTTTTATTTGTCTCCAAACAGAAAACTGGACAAACTACAATCTGGAGCAGAAGTTTAAAACAGATATATATATTATGTTCTATTTATGATTTCAGTTTATTTAAAATAACTATTTATAATTAATTTGAGTAATTATTTATTGATAATATTCTATTAATGTTGATGTATTTATTCAGAGGCTAAATGTGGTGTTGAATAATAAAAATAATGTTTTAACAAAGAAGTAAAGTGTCATTGTTTTATTTTTGAATTTAAAATAGAATGTGATTTCTGTACATCATCTTCATCATCATCAAACACACCACAGCTGTAAACACTGAACACAATCGATTATCAGTTATTCGCCAGGAAAATTTATTTTTTAGAATCAGCAGGAGGTCCTGTGACCGAGCTAACGTTAGCCACATGAGCTAGCTAGCTGATTGTTGTTGATGCAAATACCCGACTTGATAATTTAGTTCACGAACATGAGACCAACCTTGAGACCAAAAGTACAGTAGAAATATAAATCTTGGCTGCTTTGAAAGCTGGACTGTAGTAAGTTTAATCTCAAGTTTTTAAGGAAATGTTTTGACTCAGTTTTGTTAGTCTTTTGACTCAGACTGGTCTTAGTTTTGGGAATCTTTTGACTCAGACT